GGGGGGGGGGGGGGGGGGGGGGGTTGTTGATAAAGATGAGCTTTTAATTAACCTGCCCCCACAGTGTATTTGTGTACCATATCTAAGTACAAAAAATTCAAGTAATGAGGAAAAGCAAATCGGAAATAAATAAATTACATTGTAAAATAATTAGCAGCTTTTCTTTTGTGACCCTGCTAACCAGATCTTAGTGAACATCTTTAGAGCAGATTTTAACAGATTCAACTAAACCTAAAATCTATACTTATTGTTAACTAACTATATACAGATGAATATCTCATTTATAAAATCATTTCAGTAGACTGCCTTACCTGTAATTTAGAGAGAGTCTTGCCGAAGGCTTTCCTTTCTCGAACATATTTCCTTGTCTCTTCAAACATGAACTCACAACTAGCCATACCCATCACTGCAATGAGCAGCCTCTCTTGTGGCAACTCATTCATAAGATAATAAAATCCTTTGTTTTCATCCCCGAGCAAAGCTGATTTGGGCAGTCGAACATCCTCGAAGAACAATTCAGCTGTGTCCTGTTATCAGAGCAAACAAATACACATTTAGCCATCTTGGGAAAATCCCTATAAAATTTACTGAAAGGTAATAAAAACTGTTCAAGATAAATTATCCATGCTCATAAAGAAATTAATTATCTAAAACATTACAGCTAAATATTTGGTAGGATGCTGTGAAGCTGACATATGACAGCATTATTCTACTTCATTGGACAAGCTCGTAAATGCTATTGGTACAGAAATTAAGATTAGATGGTGGCTATTTTTCAAGTTGTATTTTTTTAAAATGTATTTATTAACATAGATATCATGATCATGTGTGATATACAGGTAATTTATTTTGAACAAAATCTTTATTATTGAAAAACAGGATTACTTACTTAAGGAAACAGACTTATAAAATATCTTTATTACGGGAAGTACTGCATGAGCTCTTCAACGGCCCAGCACAACCCAAAATACACCCTAATTACATACTCCAACGTCCTGATTTTAAAAACACCCTATGTACGTTTAAAACATTTAAAGATCCAATGAAGATCTATAGATAAGTCCCCAGTGCCTCAGGCCAAGGAGGGTGAGTTTAAATTCCAATAGAATCAAAATGATCAATTTAAAACAAACACACATTTTTCATGTTAACAATAAAAATAAATAAATGCATGTCTGGTAGATACTAGAAGAGTAATTAAAAAAAATAAATAAAAATATACATACTTGTGCTTTAAGACCCATCTTCTTGAGTTTTTTGCCTTTGATAAAACCTTTCATTCCATTTTCCACCAAGAATAAGCTGATGCCATGGGCAGTAGTTTTAGCATTTGGGTTTGTGATGGCGACAACAATGACCAGATCTGCCATGTACCCATTAGTGATGAAGACTTTGCTGCCGTTGAGGATGTAATCATCACCATCTTTCTTGGCATTTGTCCTGACACCTTGCAAATCACTAAACATTGAATGAAATAAAAAATGTATTTTATGGAAGGCCTTAAATATGCAGTCAGGGGCCATCCACGTATTACATAGCAGCTGAAAAGTTGGTGGTAAATTTATGATATCTGATGATGGGAAGGAGCAAGGCTGAAAGATTGTGACGCATCAGAAAAAATATTAGTGTCCAGGAATACATAAACCAACTGTCAAGGTATGAGAATCACTGTGTCCAAGGTGAACTGTGTTTGAGATATGGGTTGTGAGAGTGGTATTTGTGAGATCTAAACGTGATTGGTTAAAGATGCATGACAATAAACATGAGGATTTTATACAGTAGGACCAGGGGAATATTTGGCAGTGTTCGTCAGGAGATAATTAGAGGTGTTTTCTTCAGGGACAGTGCAGTTTTCTTCAGAGAGATCGCAGGTTATCATTAGTGGTCATCATCAGAGTAGTTAGAGTTTGTTGGAAGAGATCGTCAAAGTTACTAGATTATATTATGTTATATTATTACCCTAGCGGAACTAGACAGTAAATAATGGAACAAGATATTATTAGGTTTTAAAAAAGAAAGACTGGACAATTACAAGGATGATTCGGCTTAACACCTTTTTCAGCAGACAAGAGAGGAAATAACAAATAAATAGAAATGTAAAACTTATGTGTTCAAAGATTCTGATCAATATGTAGTTCTCAAAGTCTCTGTTTAAAAACCAAAGAAATCAGTACTAGGGTATTGTAAAAGATCTGTGAGGTTCACAGATACATGATTTTATCACCAACTTTGGTTTTAAAAGCAGAATCAGAAAAATATAAAATTTGGACTAGTATTCAGCTGATAACATAATTAAGAGGTTAGAATGTAAAGAATAATGTCACTTATATAAACATTTATATTTGAAAAAACATAAGGTAAATATTGGGGGAAAATCTCAGATTGAGATGCAGAGGATCACTTCACCAGTCAGACTTTTCCACCATCAATAAATAAATAGGCTATCAAGTTATCACCATTGATATTCACTTAAATTATTGACAATTTATCGTATCAAGTGACTTCCCCTACACTAGTGTATATAAGAGGTATCGATGGTCTATACAAAAATATGACTTTCTGGGTAAATTTTATGGCAGCTAATATTTGGGCTACTTCTGAAAGGTGCAACGTTAAATAGCATGCCAAGCCATCTATGTGGTAAAGATGCTTAAGGGAACAGCTATCATTACTCATCTGCTCAATGCTACACCAGCTTTCATTAAAAAAGTAGCCTGGTTTCTCTAATATATCTGTTATTACTGTTATGTACTTAAATAAGTTACCTCTAAGAATAACCAATGGGATTTTTTAGAGAACTTTATTACCTTCCAGCACTTGGCTCAGTCATTGCAATTGCACCAATACATTTGCCTGCAGTCATCTGTGGCAAAAATCTCTGTATTTGTTCTTTGGTTCCATAGTGAGAGATATAGGGCATTACAATGTCTGAATGAAGAGCCCAGCCTGGTCCTGTACAGTTACTATATGACCTGCAAAAAATAATGAATGAAGAATGACTGAAATCTCTGAACACTGTGCAATCTAGTAATTAATACATTAGATCACCATTTTCTATTGCAAATCAGTTGTCAATGACAGAAACTACTTACTGCTCTTCCATAACAATAGATGATGTGAGGAAATCCCCTCCTAGACCCCCATGTTCCTCTGGAGTGGCAACACCTAGGAGCCCCATCTGTCCAGCTTTTTCCCAGCACTGCAAAAGCAATGATATAAAATAAACTAGTGGTGTTTCTTAGTTGGTTTTATAACTGAGTATGGCTTATTATTTTAATAGGCCTATTTCAAAAGAGCTGAACCAAAAAGATTCATTCAATCTTACTGTAGATAAAAAGATCCGAAAAGCAACATTGGATGATGTAGCCTACATGTTTAAAAGTAGTTGTTAATCCTATTTCTAATTCTTACTTCTCTGCTAACTTGTCCATCATTTTCCCACCTAGAGTAGAAAATAAAAATAAGAGGAATTCAATTTTCAAAGAAATTTTGTTCCCAATTTAAACTTCTAATGTAAATAAATAATAAATGAAATAATATTTCAAAAGTCAATAATTCAGTTAAAATATGACTTTAAAAGACTAATACAAATCTAATTGGTGTATTAAAAATGGGAATTTCAACCAGTAGAATGAAGTGCACCTGTAAACTATTTGAATTGTATCTTTAAAGTGATAATTTTGGTACAATATGTGAAATCATTGGAGATTGATGACTAACTTTTCATGATTAGGAATAATCTCATCTGTCATAAACCTTCTGGCTGTTTGTCTGAAAATATCATGATCTGAGTTGAAAATTCGCCTTGTTCCAATATCTAATAAAGATGATGACTGGCATGGGTCTACTCGGCTGGAAAAAAAAGGAATAGAATGCACTTTAATTCTCATAGAATGCAAGAATAAAGAATAAAAACACACTTTTCTTAGTTTACTTTGAGTTCATTTGTTTAAAATGAATTAATACTTTGACTCCTACTGCATTAATTAACTCTTTCCATGCCAGAAGGGTTTCCCCATTTGTGCCAGATCAGTTTTCGGCCAATAGAAATTTTTTAGGGTGTTCTTATTTATTAATGAATTGTGACAGCTGTATCAAATGAAAGGAATTAAACAGTGAATAATAATATTTAAAAGATAAAACAATATCACAATAATAGTTTTAATTTTATGAGATTTTAATTTTTTTTTTTTTTAAATCTGCAATAAATCTGAACTTATCAGACTACTATATGGTCTGTGTAGCTGGTATCCTATTCTGGTTCAATCCCCAAAAAGTATATTCATTTATGATCAGAATGCATTTTACATTTTGAAAATATTCTATTTATTGACAGGGTTTTACACATTTTTGTAATGCTAACGTCAACTGAAGAAAACAGTTTCTTTCAAATGTCAAACACATTCTTAACAAAATATTTTTCTTTAGTACAAATTTCTTTATGTGTGGTCCTTTCTGAAGCACTCCTTAACACACAGATGAGGCCTTCCTGTGCATCTGATGCACACATAGCAGCTATGTTTGGCTATTATATGCCCAACATAGTCAACCAGGGTCTTGTTTTCACTGAAACGCTCACATGCACTTGATGGATTTTTTCCCTGGCTTTGATTGGGTGGGCAGCTTTGTCATCATCATAGCTAACAGCAGCAATGCTTCTTCTTGATGCTATTCTTCATGCATATTTTCTGCCTAATCTTTGATTTCTCTTTGCAGGAACATGAGTAGTATTATCTGAAACCTCAGAACTATACTATCACTTCAACCAGTTCAATCTACAGACCCATCAGAAGACTGAAAATCTTCACCAGAATCAGATTCAAATGATTCTTAGTTATTGTCCATCGATAATAAGCAATAAAAGCTCTTGTGCTTGCAAACTTGACAACCTATATGGCATGGTCTAGCTTTGTTTACAAGAGTTTTAACACACAGCAAAAAAAAGTTGCTACTATTATTGTAAGAACAAACTTAAACATACCTTACTTCTAACAGGAAAGAAGCAGGAAGAGTTATCGTTCATTTGGGAACTTAAAAAGTTGGATTGACATATAACGTTTATGAATTACATGGGATTTTATCGTTTAATTCATTATTAACTTCCTATCTAAAAGATATTTTGGTGAACTATTTTCCCACTTTACACTGTCCTGGCTGTATGTTCAATCCTTTCGTTTTCAGTAAAACAAGAAAATGTATTTTCTCATTTAACAGTTAAATGTAAAAGTAAATGATAATAATAATAATATAGCACTATCACTAACTCTAAAGGTGAAAAAGGACATTGAACTGAATCAATAATATCAGTATCATTAAACTTATTATTTTTTTTTAATGATGCTGATCTTGATTCAGTTCAATGTCCTTTTTCACTTTTAGAGTTAGTGATAGTGCTTTATTATTATCATTTACATTTAACTGGTAAATGAGAAAATACATTTCACTGGTACTGCCAGTACAAGTACTGGTAACTATTTTGATTCTTAAAATTTAAAAGTAAAGTTCTACTACAGCAGTACAGTTAGGCTATTACTATTGAGTCTATTGCCACCAGTGCACTGGCACTAGTAAATAAATTTACAATAGGCCAATAGGCTCAGTAGGCATATACTTTTTATATTAATATAAAATATTAGTATAAGTATAAATAATTTTTTTATATATTTCATAGGTTATGGATATAGTATACTAGACTATGACTATAGGCATAGGCCTACAGCTTTTGTAAAGACCAAAGTCCAAAGTGCAATTTTTTTTTTAAACGGGTGGTTGATTCCAGATGTCAAAAAAATATAAATAATTTTTAGGCCTAACAAGAAAAATCCTTACCTTGATGAGTCTGGTTTCTGTGTGTTAGACATACATCTGACACTATTAATTAAATGTTTTGAAAGAAAAATCCTGTTACGTGCAATTAACGTTGCCATTTTCAAATAATTTTCAGAAACTTTGGACTTGGTTCTGTAGAGCAACTGATACTGAATTACCGAGTTGTTGTAATCTTGTATTTATGTAGAAAATAAAATAAAAAAATTAAGAATATTAGAGTAACTTCCCTTGACAAAAAAATGACAACAAAACAAAATATTAGCTGCATCGTTACGTACACTTACAAGTTACATCCCTATACGTTCACTTTATTTGACTGGGAAAATAATTAATAACTAGTTATAGCTAACCAAACTTTGGCGACGGTAATGCGTGAACTTCCCATCTACTAACGTTACTTCACAAAACATGACCTCAAGTAACGCACATTGAAGAATCCCAATTTTTGCTACACCCCTTCCCCCCATGATACGTCACTGCACACTTTTTGTTTCACGCCCATGAACTATATTAATGTTCTGTTGTCCCAACTACCGAATATTTAAACCAAATATTTATTACACCAATATTAAATGGAGGCGATTTAATTTCTGAAAAGAAAATATTACGCACCAAACTCAGTTGCGTTATTTTTTTTAAAAAAAAGTAATAAAAAAACGAAGTGATTATTCACAGAGCTGTGTGGATAACGCTTGCCGTTATTCACAGATTTCGTTCTGCCGATAACGCTAAACGTTATTCACAGAATGTGATACATTAAATAATGAATATAAAATACAAAGTTCATATTTACACATCTCCTCGGTAGTGTAGTGGTCAGTATCTCCGACCGTCACCCAGCAGACATTGTATCATAGGTTCGATTCCCCGTCGGGGAAGTTTCATTTTTATAAAGAAAATTTAAAAAAATATATTTTAATGGTTATTTGGTAGTGTTATATTATAATAATATTCTTCCTATAGCTTTCTTTTTCTGTTCACATAGTTATATTATTATTTTCATATAGTTTTGTTACTTATGTTACAAGTTTCAATCTATTTTGTTAGAATGTTCATTCAAGTTCGTTAAAAAAATGTAAACAACATGGACATGCAGATCAGCCGCATAAACCATGTTTAAGTCAGATACAGCTGTTCTAACTGTACATTGTGATATACTTTTAGCTCTTTTGACTGTTTAATTTTCTTTGTATAATTCAACTCATAGA